ATGAATTGAAGACATGAAGAATATAACACTTGGTATCTAGTCAACATTTTAGCAAAGTGCTTCATTTTTTTCATTTTTAGCTACATATAATATACAAGATGTTGTTTTATCTACTAAAGAGAATGGAGCAGTTAGTATACAGTGTGTTTATGAACTTTCATCAACTGCTGATGGATGTCATGTGATATTTACGCACGCTACCAGTGGAAGGAATGATTCGTTTAACATAACAGCTAATAAGGCTTTATTAGTTCAATTAGTCAACGGATACTACACTGTGGCTATATATGAAATTATTGGCACAGATATTAAAACATCTTGCGTAGAGCCAAAACAACTAGCCATATTAGTTCCTGTAGATTTATATTCATCAAGTCACAGTACTGATCATATCAGTGGTAAGAACTAAGAAGTATGCCAGTACATTAATCGTTATATCTTTTGCATTTCAAGTAATGAGCTCGACTGATGTCTCAAGTGTATTTACTTTATCAACAATGGCAACCTCAACAGGTAGACTACACAATAGTAAAACTTATTCTAAATCACATGATACTGTAATATAGTATTTCCCACTAATCAGTCAGAAAGTACCACTCTGATTCTATCAACTGTTACATTAGCAGTTTGTGTAATGTTCATTGTACTCTTGATATTACTGATAACTTTTATCATTTGGAAAAAGAAAAAACATAAAGGTGATCTAGTTTGCGTAAAGTTACCTGCCAATTAATTTTTTAAATTTTATACAGCTTCAGTGTTTATTGTTGAAAACTTTGCATATGGACAAGGTATGAGTAAATTACTTAATGATAATAAAATTGTTCCTACAAATAGTTGAACTCCAACGACAGTGTCCATCAATAGTAAGAACTGAAACAAATCCAGCTTACGAGACTGTAGCAGCACAAAATAGTGGCACTGTACAACTGCAAATGATATATGAAACTGTTTGGTAATAACACATAGACTATTTAATAACAAAAGTAGAAATTACTCTTGTAGACTAGCAGCGTGGGTGTGATCTACCCGGGTATGCTAGTGGGATGGGCTTAGTATAATAGTGTTTGCATTTTGCCGGATGAGTGGTGTTGTGTTTTTTGTGGCATATTTAAGCCCGGTACAAGAAACGAGAAGCAGAAAGAAGCCTGTCTATCTCTCGGGCCAAAAAAGTGCTTGTAGTAGAATGATAAAGAGTCACAGTATCGGATCTGTGTTTTCGCTGCATCATTGGTAGTCTCGTCATCTCATGATCACAGGCTATGATGGTTGGCAGTTGGCACTTCGTGCCTTATCTATGTTGACACACAGGCTGAGTCCAGTGAGCCGCTTTTTACTCAGTAAGTTATGGTTTTAATGACTGTAGGCTGGGAATGGTCTCAGTGGCAAGAGAGAACTATGATCACAATGCAACATCTCAGTCTCACTGAATTATTGCAACTGAGTTCTGAATTATCAATTGAAGCATTATTATTTAGATCATCTGTCTCCTTATTCCTTAGCTATGCCTACTCTGCAATAACCTAGTTTTTACATTCATTGCATACTTAACTGAAACGGACCTGGATCATAGACATTATAGATGTTCAAGAGATGTGGTGGCTAATGTGTGGGCGGCTAGCGCAAGCTTTTCTCACCTCAAGAGAGGGGGCGTGGCCCCACGCTTGTGGGCGTGTTATCACTTGATATTAATTGACTGTACAATCTCTTGTAGTACCTCGAAGTGATATGTATCATATTATGTTGCTCGCTTTAGTTTTTGGACTCTGCTTATTATGTTCAGAAGGAGCAGGTAAGGCACCATTCTAAAAGTCTGGAATAGATATAAATCTATAACCTTCATTTTTAGAACTTCTTGAGTCGCCCGAGTCAAAAACTGTTCAGTTCAATGAAAGACCAACGTTTGTTTGCGTAGGAAATGGCAGCAACCTTGTCTGGATAATAGATGGAAAAGGATTATACTCAAATAATCAGTTTAAAGGTGTCACATTCACAGATGCTGGTGGTGGAAGTACCGTCTCTCGTTTACTATCCTCAAATCTAACTATAAATGTTACTGAGTTGGAAATTAGTTATGATATGATCAGTCAAGGGATTGGGATCTCTTGCCAAATTGTGTCACAGAGCCCTTTTGACGAAGCATTCTCTAAGACTGCTACATTGTCAGTAACAGGTAAACAAGGTTTATTATAATAGACCACTTGTCCTTCTTCTGGTAACTTAACTTACTTTTAACTGTTTTCAACTAATGCTATTATTGTAACATGTCTTATTATTGTTTATTTTGGCTTGTAGCTTCTCAGCTACTTTCCCTTCAGGTCCTCCTTCAGAATTTTTTTGTCCTTATCCTATATTATATAATAATAATAATAATAATACTCTCTTAATTTTATTACTGTCACTAAGTATTTAATTCTAACTTTATTCTTAATCTTTGTTCTTCTTGTTCACTTCTCACACACACACTCTCTCTCCCCCTCTCCCTCTTTCTCCCCTCTCTCCTTTCTTTCTTTCTTCTTATTATCACTGGTACTATATATTCTGTCGTTATTTTTCTTCCCTATCTGTATCCCTAACCTACCCTATATTTGTATTTTTAATGCATAATAATTATTCCTTTGTTGAGATTATTAATAATACATAAGTATGATGATAATAATAATAATGATAATAATAATAAGTAAACTTTTATTCCTTTGTTAATTTTTAAAGTAACAAGAGGGTAGGTATTCTTGATAATACCGATAGTAATAATAAAAAATAGATAAATAGTCAATTACAATAATTACTAGGGATATCACCACCTCAGAATATCTCATTGTCTATTGATTGGATATTGACATGGTCAAGCCAGTTTTATCGTCCAAGAAATGCGCTTTTAAACAATCAAACTTTTGATGTTACTGTGAATGGAAAAGTGATTGTGGCAAATACAACTAGTACCAGTATTCAGCTTCGTCCATTCTGTACTAGGCCAACAGAAGTCAATATAACTGCCTACATTGGTTCATACCATTCATCAACCAGTGTCCTTTTTGAGAATGTGATTGGAGGTATGTTAGATTATTATAATTATTATAATGATGATTAATACTTTTAGAAAGGACTATCAAAATTATCAATTACACTACTTTGGTGAATGGTGCAGAATGTAGTATCACTTTGAATATTTTGGTAAGTATGATCAATTCTATCCAGTTTCATGTAGCTCTTTAGGTCGACACACAACACTGTGACACACTTGTGTCTGGTCAACTCCTAACAAGTGAAGGAGATGTGAAGAACTACCCTCCTCAGTCGATAAATCCCAGCAACGGGATTGTATCTACATCTTATAATATGACTGGGTTACAGAATTGCCTGTCATATGATGCTCGTATAAACGTATCGAACACTTCTAATTTTACTGAAGACACAGCTAACATTGCAATTGGTAAGTTTTTGTTTCTATTATTTATTGTCACTTTCTTGTATTAGAGCCTTTATATAGTGACGTAAAGGATATTGAAATTAATAAAAATGAGGATAGATCAATTAATGCTCAGTGTATTTATTCAGATATGTCAACTGCTATGGGATGTCACGTGATGTTTACACACACTACAACTGGAATTAGTCAATCCTTTAATATAATAGGATCAGATGATAAAACAATAAACCTATCATCCAGTGGAGTATATGCTATAGCTATTTATAGCATCAACGCTGATGGAAGTATTGCTCGATGCACTTGTGTACAACCCAAACAAGTTAATGTGACTCTTGTAACTAGTGCCACTTCCTCCAATGGTAATACATGTCTTATTAGTTGTTTATTGTTATTTCAGTACTATTATTAGGAGGTAGTAGTACTGTCAGCTCTGTCTCTTCCTCTACTGGAAGTCCAATACCATCACCATCTGTTACTGTTGAAACTGAAAGTGAAAGTACATCAGGTATTGGACTGACATGCCCACTTAGTATTTTAATTTCACATCAAATTTATAGAAGTAGTATCACCACCAACACATTCAACAACCTCTACATTCAGCAGTAACAAACCAACTGGAACTACAAAAGGTAATTGTTAATAATATTATTAATTATAATTATTGGCATTTTTAGATACTGGTGCATATATTATTGGTGGTGGTACTACTGCTGCTATTATAACATTGATCATTGCTATATTTGTGGTCCTTGCTGTACTTTATCTTTATTACAAACAAAAAAGAAAGTCCGAAGAAGGTTATACTACTTAACAATACATAAATGTCGTATATTTTGATTTGGTTTATTTATGTAGACCCTTCAGTTGACACTGGAATAGAATTAGACTCTATACGGTTGGAACAAATCACACGAAAAACTAATGTTTCATTGGAAGATAAAGTAGATCAAAAGGTACAGTATACAGTCATTGTTTGTGAGATGTATGCTATTGTGCCAAGATTACAATATTACTATATGTACTGTCTTGATTTTATCACAGGATCCAGCCATACGATCTGAGGATGATAGTAACGGTACAACTCGTGATCCTATTGTGTCGCCTGACGCTCCAAGACCTGTTTCCAAGAAAGTTCCTGTGTTTCACAGTCATTATGGTATATTATATTTAGATCTAACTTGCTTCATAATTTATGAATGTGTACATTTTTGTGTTGCAGATAAAAAGCCTGTGGAAGGTGATTTTACAGCAGCACCATCTTCCCCTTCATGTAATGATGGACCACTTACTGTTGGTGAGACAGACTTTACATGTCTCATTATAACTTACAAATTTGGTTTATTTTTAGTACCTAATCATGACACAAATTGTCCTAAGATATTGAATGATGAAACTGGAGTTAGATCTACATTTATTATTAATAATGTGGATTCAAATGAACAACTGAAGAATTTAAAGGAATCTCCCAACTAAGACATATTAGCAATCTGTGTTTACTGTTTGCTTTGTGTATAAATATAATAATTACTAAATTTTATTTATTTTCTGTCATTAGTGTATTATTATTGCATAGCTATGATCAAAACTAAACTAGTGTTATTTTATTTACAGAAGTTTGTGATGCTTTATTTTAGTTGTGGTTATTTGTCTCGTGTTCTCTTTTTCCCATTAGTTTTAGTTATATAATTAAGAGTCAAAATAGACTAGTTATAAACTGATTTAGTTTCAATTAACTACAATGTTTTGCTCTGTTTATTTTCTTTAGTTAACTAAACTCCCTAATAATGACACATGTACCGTAAACAGTATATACATACTATTGAAACACATAATATTGTGATAATACATGAGTGTATTAAATGTAAACATAATAAAAATCTAATACTTTAATTCTTATAATGGTGTCCTAATGCATTGGCAGTCCATTAATATAAAGTGTCTGTGACTTTAATGTGCTAGTGACTGGTATCATTATAGAACCGTCTCTCCCTCTCCTCCTTTCCTTCCTCTCTTTCTGTCCTTATAAGGGAACACTATATAAACATGATGTGTATACTCATTATATACAGTACAGTATGTAGTATGTACAGTATGTACACAATACAGTGGACATACTATCAATACACATAATACTGTTATAATACATGAGTGTATTAAATGTAAACACAATATAATGTTACTATCATAACACACTCGCCCTTTCCTAACTAGTAGATATATACACAATGTATAGTGTATTTTTAAATTTTGAATAAATGACCATATATGGTAATGATCTACTACTACTACTGAAGGGAGTAGTTATAGTGTCATAACTCTTAACTGTCCGTTAGCTGTGGACTGTAAAATGTTTTGATAATGAAATTTAAGTTACTGGAGGCAAGAGACAAACATGCTAACAATGTAAATAAATGCCATATCATATTTTATTATATAGAAATATCCTTGTACCATTGAAATGCTGATCTGGTCGTGATTATTCTATTTGTACTGTTTCAGTATTATGTGAATATTGCAACTGTTAATAGGACAGTTTACTTTATCAATCAATTGCTAAGAATGTATGGCTTTTGATATTGCTGTATTGCTCAGTGCAAGTGCTCACAACCTAATGTAAACAATGCCTATACATGTACATAAATAACATAATCATAACATTGTTGCATTTTCTGAAGAGATGGCCAAGTTTGATCTAAGAGGATACTTTATTTTGTTCATTTTGATCTTTTTGTCAGTAGATGGAGCTGGTAATAATATATAATTAATAAAATAATGTAAATTGTTTATTTCTAGTCATCACAGTACATCCAGTGCCAGTAACAGTTCCTCCTTTTACAACAGCAACATTTACTTGTGAAGGAAATGGTAATGTATTGAATTGGGTAACACGTAATGGTGAAGACACTGAAGCATTTACTCCTGACATTCAACAACAAAGAAATATATCTTTTACTGATCCTGGCATTGGTCCTGGTAACTTATCATCAGTATTTACTATCATTGGGTTACCTGTTAATGATGGGTTACAAATTAGCTGTCAAGTGGTATCATATCCACCTCTTGAACAAGTGACATCTTATAGTATACTAAAATTAAGAGGTAATCATTCATAATAATGCAGCTGTGTATTTTTGTAATGAAGTGACTGGACATCATTGTTTACATTGTGTGAATGTGTGTGTACTGTATATACTGTGTACCTAATGCGCATGCTCAGTATGCATGTGGTGATTCAATGAATGCATGGCTCTCTCTCTCTCTGTCTCTCCTTTCCTCTCGTTTCACTTGTTTGTTGTATTAATATGATCTTCATTACATTTTGTAATGTGTATTAGATGTTTCACCAGTTGAAGATTTAAAATTTAATTTCACTTCAAGTAACTCTCTTGAAATAACATGGTCACCTCCTGTTTATCGGTTTCCTCCTGACTCACCTGTCAGTTATCAAGTATTAGTCACTGATGAGGAAGATGGAGATATTATACTGGATACAAATATACCTGACACAAATTATACAGTGCCTAATGTCACACAATGTGATTCATTCAATATCATTGGACTCGCCACGCTCGCGTAGGCGGGTACTAAGCAGTTGGGTTGTCATTCTGTCATTCTGTCCACACAGTTTAATTGATTTGTAAAAAAATTATCTTTTTGTCTGAGCAGTCTAGAGCTCTATTTCTTCTTCTAGCAACAGATAAAGTTTCTTTCTTTCATCTAGTTATGCTCTTGTAGCATCCCGTGGCACCAAAAGCTGTGAACTGCTAAACCAGGGGACCTCTCTCCAGGTGAGAGCTCGTGTTTCACTCTACAGGGCCGAGATTTGCTTCAGAGGTAGAAAATCCCATCTAACGAAAAAGAAAAAGAACGATTTTGTCCTAACTTCGTTGTTTGTGTGTTACAGTTGCTCAAAGTTTGTGATCATTAGCTTCTTTGAGAATTTTTCAGGCGGCACTGGGGAAAGCAGGAGCAACTAAACTCTCTCAGTCTCTTTTAAATAACTAGAAAAATTTTCTGTGCCAACTCTTTCTTGGAATAGAGCTTCAGATGCTAAAATAAATTTCAGCTTTTCTTCTTTCTCCTACCCATGTGCCATGATTAGTTAGTTGTTGACCACACCCATAGCTTATTTTAATTATCATTATAACTATGCAGTCAATAATAATAATATTTTTTCAAATTGCTTAAAATATCACAGTACAAGTAATACATATCACTCAGGTGAATTCCAGCAGGCGAGTCCATTGCACCATAGTGCTTCATTCTTCTAGTTATAACAGTTGGTCCTACTTCTGTTACTGTTCCTATTTATGAGACAGCAAGTTTTACTTGTAAAGGAACTGGCAATGAACTGAATTGGATAGTACACAGTGCTCCACTGACAGAATCTATAAAAAAACAAAGAGATATATCCTTTACTGATCCTGGAGGTCCTGGTAACTTATCATCAGTACTTACTATCACTGGGTTACCTGTTAATGATGGATTACATATTGGTTGTCAAATAATATCATATCCACCTCTTGAACAAGTGTTCTCTGACACTAGTACACTAACAATAAGAGGTTAGTACATACATTATGATTAGTAAAGTGTATATTAATAATAATAAATTATTAATTACCTATTAGGAATATCACCAGTTGAAGACATACAATGGTCTAATGATAATCAGTTATTGTCATGGTCTCCTCCTTCTTTTTATTCTGATGATGTTATTTCAGGAGCCATTGCTTATACGACATATAATGTACTAGTGAATGGTATCAGTGTTACTAATACCACTGATACTAGTGTATGGTTGAATACTACTGGATTACCTTGTACTAATGCTACAGCTGTCAATATTACTGCATCTATTGGACAATATGTATCACAAGGGGGGGACATGCTTTTAGCATCACTGCAGGTGTGTAAAATAAAGAAATGAAATTATTTTGCTTTTGATTAGATCATACTATTAATTATGACAATGTTACCATGACTTTTGATGTATCAAACCAGACATTTGTTGCTAATCTCAACAGTTTGGTAAGATTTATTATTATTATTTCCATAACTATATGTGTCAATGTTAATTTATTAGATTCACAGCAATCAGTCATGTACATATATGATAGTTGGTGAAGTCATTTCTAGAGGTATGGAAGACAGCACTCAGAAAGTTGAAGCAGATGAAAAAGAAGAGATATTTTCATACAAAATGGCTGGATTAAGACCATGTACAAACTATACAGCTTATATAAAGGCTGATAAAGATTCTTTTAAAGTTCCATTTTGTAAGTTTTTATGTTTAATTACTTTAACTTATGTTCTATCTTAATTTAAGCCACATATAATGATGTACAAGATGTGCTAGTATCTACTGAAGGGAATGGATCAGTTAGTGTACAGTGTGTGTTTGTATCAGGATCAACTGCTGATGGATGTCATGTGATATTTACTGATACTAGTAATGGAAGGAATGAACACTTTAATGTAACTGGATCAGGCAATACAATAGTAACATTATCAACCAGTAGAGTATATGATGTAACAGCACATGACATTAGTGATGATGGAAGTATTGCTCCATGGACTTGTGTACAACCTAAACAAGTTGATGTGAAATTGAATATTGCTATTCCTTCTATTGTCCACAGCAGCAGTTACAGCACTGTACATAGTACTGCCATTAGTAGCTCAACTTCTAATATTACATCATCACCAACTGTTATTATTGGAAATGATGATACATCAGGTATTGACTGACATGTACACTTACATATTTCACAATAAATTGTTTTATATTCAGGAAATGGTGACAGCTCAATGGTCTATATCATTACTAGTGTGGTATTAATGATAATACCCTTCACTTTGTGTGTGGTTGTTGTGATGAAAAGGAATCATAAGAACAAAGTTACACTTAATGCAGGTAATTGTTATTGTTGTGAATGTCACATATCATTATTGTTGTTATATAGAACGTGCTGCCTGTCATCAGTCACAAGCAGAGATGAGTCATTATGAGATACATGATCCTATTGGACCAGTAGCTATTGATATGTCAAATGATGAAAGGTCTTCAGGTCCAACAAGTGGACCAGTACAAGGGACTATAGTGGATCCTTATCATGTTTCTACTGATGAATTACTAGCTATTAGGAATGTAAGTTACTATTGAATGATGCAATATACTTTATAATAATGAAATGCTATATGTAATGCTGTGAACACCTGTTCTATTGTGTTTACTATAGAGACGCCCTGTTCAAGACAATAATTCCCATGTCACTACACCACAAGAGGTAATTCTATCTTTCTACAGTATTATTTGTACTACAGTGAAGCCATAATAATGTTGTTTACTGTGAAAATGCTGTCGTGTACTAATTACACTGTCATATAGCAGGAAGAATAACATACTGTTGGCTTATCATGTTATGCACTCAAATGATAAACACCCTTTAATGAAAGTTGCTAGTGATATATTATAGGAAATACTCTGTACTGTTACTGTACAGATACATGTACTTACACATGTATGTAGTCACTATGTCAGTATTTTAAAAGTATTTAAATACTTGGTATTATTTTTGTACAGTATTGTTATTGTGTACTACTTTTTATCTCTATAATGAGATTCATGACCTGTATACTCCTCTACTATGAATTATGATATCACATTGTATTCTCATAATTGATTTTGTATGTTGTGCACTTTGTGATGAGATTCATGAACTATGCATGATTATAATTATTATTCTGATTATTAGGGACAAACTCAAGACCAATCACCATCATCTAGCACTGGCTCTGTTGGTTCTCTTCATAGTACTACTCCATTGATGCGACGTAACACATTCAATACTGATCCTACTGATACTCCTAGTAGATCCTATCTATCTATTCCTATCTATGTTTTTAGACTATGCATTGGCAACCACGCCCTCATATTCAGCTGAAGGGATTTACCCCCAGAAATTCAAAAGGTGATAATGTCTGTGAAGAAGACTTTCGAGATGGTCTCTCTTTGCTTTCTAGTGCTACTGATGCAGCCTTCTTTTGTGTCTACATTTGGTTGTCAGCACAATAGCTGTTCTGAGAGGATATCTCATTCTTATGCATATAACGCAGTGAAAGTGGCGAATGAGAGTGGTAAGTTTTCGCTGTTCAATAACATGTCTCTACTGCTCACCCTGTTCTTCACTGATTAGAAACCGAGTATGAGAACTTTACATTTCCTGTGAACGCTACTGTATATGCTACTGCTAGTAGCAATGCTAGTTTTTATGCATCAATTCCAAAAGACTATAGTAACCACTGTAGGTTGAGGACATTTGAAAGTGATTGTTGGGCCAGTAAGCAGTGCCACGGACCAAACCGTAAGATATTACTGTATGAAGAAGAAAGGCAAAAGGTTATAGAATATAAATTTTATAATCTAACTGTTGCACAAGATGGAACAAGAATAGACATATGTGCTCACTGCGGTGGCCCTGGTGGGTCATATGTCTGCTTCCCTCCAGTCTACCTTACAGTTAACGGTGAGGAAAAAGATTGCTATCTATTATTATTATTATAATTATTATTGTTTTATCAATAGGCCCTCCTGTTAACTTATCGAACTATGTATCAGTAAAGGTGACATCCCATGGGATCATGATCACTGGGATCATCGATACTGACACCGAACTATTAATCATTATTAAGAATACTAATAATGAAACTGTCTATGAAGAAACTGTACATACTTTACCATTTGTTGTTAGTGGATATGAAATTGGTAGCAATTTTGATCCAGCAGCAAACTACACAGTAGTTATAACTGGCAAAAACCCTGCCGGTACAGGCGAAACATTGCAGCACAATGTTTCGTTTAAAAACTGTAAGTTTTTTATGATTACAAATCTGTTTTTATAGCATTTTCCTTTTAGTTATTTCATTCAATGTAAGTAGTGTAAACTTAGGAATAGTTGATGATCAGGCAGAGGCTATCATTAACTTAACAGTGAGTGTTCTATTATTATTATTATTATTATTATTATTATTATTATTAATATTATTATTATTCCTATTATTATTATTATTATTATTATTATTATTATTATTATTAGTTTAATCGCTCGCGTCCTTTATCAATACCACAAAAGATTAAAGTGGAATCTGATTGCATGCATAAAGGACACAAGAACGTTATTCTTAATAAATCAAATAGTCTAAGAATACCGCTTTTAAGAGGGACAAAAAACTGTGTTTTAAAATTGTCTTCTGGAGGCAAACAGGAATCAATAAACATTAGTAAGTTTATAGTACTATTAGCAACTTGAATTGCTTATATTAGCAACTTGTGTCATTAATCATTAATATTTACTACAATTGTTTTAAATTCTGTTCCTTTGTACTATTTTTTAGATGTACTATTTATAGATTTACTATTTTTTAGATGATAGATTTACTATTTTTAGATGTACTATTTATAGATTTACTATTTTTAGATGATAGATTTACTATTTTTAGATGTACTATTTATAGATTTACTATTTTTAGATGATAGATTTACTATTTTTAGATGTACTATTTATAGATTTACTATTTTTAGATGATAGATTTACTATTTTTAGATGATAGATTTACTATTTTTAGATGCACTATTTATAGATTTTCTATTTTTAGATGTACTATTTTTAGATGTATTATTTTTAGATGTATTATTTTTAGATTTGATATAAATATTGTTACCTTGTTTACTGTTATTCTCAGCTCCTTAATACTATTGCATCATCAAAACCACAAATTTATCTAGTGTCATATAATCATATGACACTAGATAAACTTGTGGTTCCCTCATAATAATAATATTAGTAATGACATCCTAATATACTGTATAGTATATAGTGTATACATGTATATGTAATCTTTAATTTGGCTAAACTGAGTAATAATGAAGTACATAGGGGATATAGCACAGTGCTGATAATACCAATGGTCATATGACATACTTTCCCATAATATACTGTGCTATGTGAATATCAGTGTGAATAGTGAATGCAAACTATGCTGGAGCTAAATGCTTGGTACATGAACAGTAGATATAGTCACCATGTACTTTTGATGTAATGGTCACAGTTAGTCTAGTGGTGACATGGTTCATTACATGACTTGTTTATAATGTTATATGATACCACTGTGTTATTATATTTACTTTTTATAGGTCTACAAATAATTCAAAATTTATCAATTTCTTCTTGTAATGGAGGATATTTTGAAATAAAGGCAAAACTTTTGCCCGGAGCAACGGGCATTGTCATGAGAGTACTTGATTCTCAAAAGAACCTTTCATTTCGACAAGAAATAAAGTGTGATGATGAAGGCTTAATTGTCGCTAATAGTTCAGAAAAACTTGAACCAGGCAATTACACTGTTGAAATTCATTATCTTAATGGAGATAGAACTATTGATAACTCATCTACAAATTACTTCAATCTCAGTTGTAGTACAGATGATGTATTAAGTACTACTGATCCTCCTTCTACTAATAGTAAGATATGTGATGATTATGTGTACATTTGACTACATTTTTTATAGTTCCAGTGACTTCAATAGTAATAGTGTGTGTTATAACGGCAATAGTAGCAACTATTGTCATTATTGTAGTAATAATAGTATTAATAAAGATAAAGTCTAAAAAAAGTGAGTGGCTGATGTTTTTAATGAGGTTTTATTATTATTACTATTATTATTATTATTATTGTTATTATTATTATTATTATTATTAAGGTAAATACACTGTAAGTGACAAAGGAGTTACATACTCTGCTAAGGATGTGACTATTGTAATTGAAGATTTGGAGCAGCAAAAAAGGTACAAGTATATTTATAATAATGATGTTCTGTTTTGTGTTTCTTTCCTTTTAGTGAAACTGAAGTGGATATACCAGCACCTCACTCTGTACCTGTACGTGATACAGAATCACATTCTGAGTATGTACAAAATGGCCACTCATTTGATTTTAATTTACTTTAATAATTCTAGGAGTCGACCCCATCCTCCTCGAAATTATCCTAAACCCGAAAATTCCCCAGCTCCTGACACGCCTGCTAATACGGATGCATCTACTAAACCGTTACTTGATAAAGGTGGTGGAAGCACTATGGCTTCTTCAACTATGACATCACAACAAAGTGCTAGCGTCTCAGAAAAACAGCCTCTAATCCCAGACTCAAAGGTTAGAATGTTTATATTTTGTAATAAATTAAAAATTTTATTTGTAGAACGATGAAAAGGCCAAGTTTGTTACTCCCGAGATAAAAGTCCCTCCTCAACTTCGTCATCAAAAAGAACCTGAAAACAGTCTCCAGAACCCTCCTTCTAGCAGTACTGTCCTAATACCCAAGGCTCCAACAAATAATCGTCCTGAAGAAAAGAAAGTAACACTTGCTCCTCCTGTTTTACGAGTTGTGCCACCTGCTAATAATCAAAATCAAGAAATCAATCAGGTCAGGAGTTTTTACAATCATTATTAGGAATTTTTATATTGTTGTCATTCATTATAGGATTCTGAAGAGGGTCAGTTATCGTACATATTATCTAGAGCTATAGGATCCTCCACTACTTACCGTAGCTTGGCAGCTGGAAGTAAGTACACTCTTTTTAAGTAGCATGTACCATGTTATTACTGATACGTGTAGACAAAAGTGGGGATGAGAAGAAGGGACAATGAAAAAGACAAGATATGATGAAACTGTTTATTTTAAAACTCTGTAGCTGCTTTTTTGCTATTAGTTAATGCTTAGTTAGTGTGTGTAGTTATATAATGCTGCTTTTGCTATTAGGTCTATAGTTACAGTAATGCTGCTTTTTGTTATTAATTATAGTGCTGCTTTTATTATTATTTACAATTAATGCTGCTTTTATTATTAATGATGCTTTGTTATTATTTATAATTAATGCTGCTTTTCATTATTACTTGGTGCCGTTTAGTTATTAGCTGATAATAGCTGTTGCTGTTTTTTTAAATATTTTATTCGTGTGTAGTAGTGATTGTCCTTATTAGGAAGTAAAAAATGCTAGTAATTATTATAGTATTTTACACACACACACACACACACACTTTGTAGTAGTGAACCTTTTAAATATGTACACATATAAATAGAGACTGCTTGAGCCTTGAAGAAGCAACTAATTAAAAAAATCATTCATTAGAGATTTGTGGCTCCATCATCTACATTGTAAATAATATGACACTTAATATTGAATCACAGATTGAATGAGCAGCAATTAATATGAACTGGACCTATAAAATTATATCATTTTACTTTTGTGTGCTATTTTTTATTTTGGCTATTTTTTTAGAAAGCGACTCAGAATTAAGTCAAACTAAATGCATAAAAATGTAATGGAGTCTTTGATTTTGAGCTAATGTGTATATGCAAAAATTAAGAATTCTCTCCTAGCCACTTTTGTACACAGGGACTTTGGCCCAATTTGGAGCACCTTTAAAATTCATTTTAAAAATCCAATTTTGACCAGAATCAACTCAAATTTAAAACACAACATAAGAGCATGTATATGTATCAGAAAAATTATAAAAATTGAAAAATTCTTACTTTTCATTTTTGGAAAAATTTGCCCTGCATTAGCAGGACATGGTCAGGTAAGGTAATGCTTGTTCATTGTTCATAATTAAAACACAACTGACAGTCACGTTAAAATAATCATAGAGTGGTATAGTTGTACTCTACTTTTTTTCAATAATTGTTATCATAAGCTTACAATAGGATCATAGGTGGAGGGGGGAGTTGAGGTAGAGTGATGAGATAAAAGAGTGATGCATCAGCATTTCTTAACTTTTATGATGCTGTAGCTTCAGCTTTTGAAAAAGAGAAAGGAAGAAGAGAAGTGGAGGAGGACTTCTGTCTAATTCTCTATTACAAGTAGATATCATGAGACTACTACAAATATATTTTGGACTATAGTTCGTGTAACTTTCAATATTATTTTAACACAGGAAAAACAATATAGTGTAGTCATCAATAGTGTTCGAAGAACAGTCATAAAGTCAAGAAGATGATAAGCAATGAGGTGGCTGTATTATTTCTTTTATTTGTGATAGTCTCTTTGTCAGTGGATGGAGCTGGTAAATTTAATGTCAGAAGCTCCTGTGATTCTCATTCTTTCTAGTCATTACAGTACCTCCAGTGCCAGTGACAGTTCTTCCATTTACAACAGCAACATTTACTTGTAAAGGAACTGGAGATATATTGGATTGGTGGATTCAAAGTGCTCCACTAACTAACTCCATTGCACAACAGAGACAAATAACAGTCACTACTACCACTGTTAATAATACTAACTTCTCATCAGTACTGACAGTGAAGGCACTACCTATTAATGATGGACTGGGTATCGGTTGTGAAGTTATTACTTTTAATCTTTTTAATCGTGTCATATCAAGTTGTAACCTAACCATAAGAGGTTAGTATAAAATCATGCTTTTAGTATCCTATGAATTATTAGGTATATCATCTGTTGAAGATCTACTCTTCAACTTTTCCTCCAATAACTCACTGATCATATCATGGTCACCTCCTGTTTACTTCTCTAATGATATTCCCATTGGATCTCCTGTCAGTTATGAAATACAAGTCATTATTTTTGATGATGAAAGATCCATTGAAGATACAATTACAACAAATACAAATATTGTTGAAGTTTACAATCTCACTCAGTGTGATACATTTAGTGTCAGTGTAACTGCACATAAAGGTCTATACACATCAAATAATAAAACCAAGGAGAATTATGGAAGTAAGTTTTAAGCAAGAGTTAAGCTAATGATAATGAAACTAATCACTTTATTTTTAATAGATTGTAGCATGAAAATTCAGAAAATATTTCAAACATTTGATGAAGTCACTATATTATTCAAAGTATGGCACCATAAAATTTAACATAATGTTTAAAAATACCGGTAACAGGTAAAATGCTCACCCTTGCTTTGCAATAAAATAATATTAATTGAAGTTTCATATGATGACAATGTACACTCTGAAAACTTTCAATTTTTTGATGGGAATTTAACAGAGATTGACTGTATATCTATAAACTATTCAGCACTAAACTTATTGCCATTTCAACACTATCAACTTGTGCTTAAGTTATTGAGTTTAATGATGATCACTGAAGATAAGGATATCAAATTTATTTGTAAGCATGCACTTTTACAGAGACATTATTATAATTTTTTAGCTACATATAATGTACAAGATCTGCTAGTATCTACTGAAGGGAATGAATCTGTGATTTTACAATGTATATATATACCAGGATCAACTGCTGATGGATGTCATGTTACTTTTAGACACACTGTCACTGGATATAATGAATCCTTCACCATATTAGGAACAAATAATAGTACACTGATATCTTTACCAGCCAGTGGAGTATATAATGTAGTTGCATATGATATAAGTGACAAATCATTATATGGACCTGCTGTGTACTATCCTACTCTGGTTGAGATTGTAATTGTCACTATGCCTGTACTGCCTTCATCATCTTTAGCATCATTTGCTAGCAGTACCAATGGTAATATAGTGATTGGCATTAAAATGAGTTTTTTAATTTATAATTTTCATTTTGAAATTAGTTTGGGATGAACCACTGTCATCTTCTGTAATATCAGGTATGTACAATTAAAAGTTTATTATTAAAGATATTGCCAGAATGTTACATTTTCTGTTTATTTTCACAGTTAATACCAGTACTACAATGTTATCACCAGAAAGTAGTCGAGTACAATTGCTGCCTATTATCTGTTCAGTAGTGGGAACAGTTATTATAAGTGTTATTTTAATCATTGTCCTCATCACTATTGTTGCTTTATGCATGAGACAAAGAAAAAGAAGTGAAGGTTTGAAATGTATAGATTTTAATTTATATAATTTAAGTTGATTTAGTAATTGCAGAATTGATTAATAATAATCCAGCATATGGACAAGGTTTGTAGCAACTTAAAAGTTGAAATATTACACTTTTGTATAGTTTTAGAGGTGGAAAATAATCAGAGAGTGAATGTCAACGTTGATGTTAATCCTGCCTATGATACAATTACAAGGCATAACAGACGTACAAACATCACAAATTATGAAACTGTTTGGTGATTTGAAATAATTTTAGTGATTAATGATTCATTATAAATAAAATGTGCAGAGGTCCTAATATTCAGCCTAGCTTGCCAAAGAGCAAAGTGAAATCATTTTTGTGTTTGTATACAAGTCTTAGGCTAGGGATGAGCCTATTATTCCAGCATAATTTTAGGAATAATAGGGGCTTCCTCATATGAGGAATAATGCTGGAATAATTGGGTGGAAATAGGAATAATAGTGGAATAATGGGTGGAGTTGAGGTCAATGGTGATTGCAGAAGAAAATTTTAAAATTTTTGGCTAGTGTTTTTTGGAAGACCTATTTTTAAAACACTGCTGGAATGCAATTCTTGGGTGAAAATTGATTGTTTGAGAAAATTATTGAGAATAAATTGAGAATAATAGGCTAAAATGAAAAGAATAATGGGGGAAATTATTAAGAATTTCCAGAAAGAATAATGGGAAAATTTATGAGAATAATAGGCTCAACCCTAGTCTTAGCAGGCACCCGCCCACGCTCAGCGTTCGTTTTAGTTAGTGGGTGTGGCCACAGCAAACAAAATGGCGGCTTACACATGGGACAAACTTATGTGCTTTCTAACAGCAAGAGAACACAGAGATACTGTCTAAAGACTTCTCTAGAAGCATTTGAAAGTAGAGAGAACCTCTATAAGTCTTAATAAGTGCCCAGCTATGCATGCAAGGTGGTGAAATCAATTATAGAAATATTTTACACTGTTACGCTTGTTATGTTGTGTTATTGATCCATAACTCTAATCAGAGATATACTTTAATATCTATGATCATAGATATTAGAGTATTTTAATCTAATATCTATGGATTGATCGAAATCATATTGACCACACCCAATCATCATGTGACATTCAGTCACATGATGATAGATGTGCAAAACAAACTGCTGCTGGCGAATAGGGGTAGATGAGGATAAGTTGCATGACATTGTCCCTTCTCTCAGGAGAAGGTCGTGCAACTTTTTTGCAAGAAGTCAAGAGATGGGTCATCGATCACGTGACTTAGCAGCCGGCGGAGTGTGCCTTGATTTGATTTGATAATATGTATCAGGAAAACTAAAATCACGTATATCTCGGGCTATATTTCCATAGATCCACCGTCGTATATCGGTTCGGTAGAGATCATTTTGGTAGCTGGTAGCTTTGAAAAAGGCTGGTTAGTTAAAGAGTGCGTGAGAGGGAGAGAGGGGGTAGGCAGTAGTAGTAAAGAGATGGCGGAGAGAGTAGTTATCACCAAGTCTATTGTCGTTCCCTTGGTAGTTTTTAAAAAACTAT